CCTCCTCCCCCTCCTCCTCCTCCTGTGCTGGCGCTGTCGGCACTGTGTGGCGGGGCGACGTTGGTGGGACGGGCTGCGCCCCCCGAGTGCGCCGGCGGCTCCCGCCGGCGCACGTCGCGCCGGGCTGCCCGGGCACAGGCCCCGCGGGGGCGCCTCGGGCCTCGCGACGGAGCCCCTGCGTGGTCTCGAAGGGGGGCTGCCGAGGCGACCCCGGCGGCCCCGGCGGGGCGCGGAGGGCGCGCCCAAGGGAGGAGGGAGGAGGGAGGAGGGAGGAGGAGGAGGGAGGAGGAGGGAGGAGGGAGGAGGAGGGAGGAGGAGGAGGAGGGAGAGGGAGGAGGATTTTTGTTCGAGGAGGAGGAGGAGGAGGAGGAGGAGGAGGAGGGAGGAGGAGGAGGAGGAGGACGCTGAGCTTGCGGCTCGGGGCTCCCTGTCTCTGCCCAAGGCCTGCACTCCCTCAGGGGCTGCCGCCTCCTCAGCTCCGCCCCGCGGGGCCAGGGCACGGGCTCCGCGGTGTGCAGAGCCCTCCTCCCTCATCGCTGCCCCTCCTGTTATCCCTCGTCGCCATCTTCCTCCTCCGCCTCCCCTCCACCTCCTTGCCTCCCCATCCACCTCCTCGGCCTCTTTCGTATTCTCCCCCCATCCTCTTCCATCCCATCCGCCATCCGCTCCTGCATCCAGTTCTCCATCCGCTCCCTCTCCTCCTCCTCCTCCTCCTCCTCCTCATCATCATCATCAGCATCATCATCATCATCTGTTTATTCACTTATGTTATCCTCCGCCTCCTCCGTCCTTCGTCCTCCTCCTCCCTCTCCTCCTCCCGCCACCGTCTTCAAAATGTAATTATTCATCCTCGTCTTCCGTCTCCCTCCATCCTCCTCTCTCCTCCTGCCTCCCTCTCCCTCGAACCTCCTCTACCTCCTCGTCGTGCCTCCGTCCCTCGTCCCTCGCTCCTGCTTTCCCTCCACCTTCTCCTCCCCCCACCCCTACCCCTGCCACTCCTCCTCTTCCTGATCATCCTTAGCCTCCTCCGTCTCGTCACGCCCGTCCTCCTCCTGCCCAATCCTCCTCCTCCTCCTCCTCCTCCTCCTCCTCCTCCTCCTCCTCCTCCTCCTCCTTCCATTCATGTTTTTCGTCGTCCCTCGTCGTTCTTCCCTCAACGTTCCCTCGCTCCTCCACGTCCTCGCCCCTTCCCCTTTCCCAGCGAACCTCACGTAATTTCGGCCATCCAACGAGCGGCGACTCGCTAGTCTTGGAGGCGGCACCGAGAAACACCCGTTCACAAGGCACAAACAAAAACAGGACGGGGCTCTAGAAACTATCAACCAAAGCGCACTAAACAGGTGTTAAAAGCTTTGCGAACCAATAGCATTGTAATGTGATGTGCTAACCTAAACTTGTAATAGGAGCTCGGCCATCAAACACCTCCCGCAAGAGAAGCCCAACCATGAACCCCCAGGATGTCCATTGCTTTTAGAAAACAACGTCATAAACAACGCCATGAAAATGAGCTTTCGGCGCTCCGCGCGGATTTCTTGGATCTGCGCTGGACCCCCCCCCCCCCCCTCCCTGGCGCGCGGAGCGCGCCAGGGGCGGCGCCGGAGGCGCCGCCAGGGGGGGGCCCAGCGTGGATCCAAGAAATCCGCGCGGAGCGCAAGTTTATGTCTACGGCGGTTTTCTCCAGCTTCGGAGATATCTTAACTCGGCGGTGGACAACCCCCCCTTGAATAAACCTCCGTGTCGTGAGAGCGGCCCAGGACCGAAACCGACGGACCCGGACCCACGACCCGAGCGACGGCCGCGACGGCCTCCCGCGACCCGAGAACGGCCAACTCGCCAAGCGACGCGTCAGGGTGGGAGGTCTACAACCTGCGAAATGCTTGAGAAATCATGGGCTAAGGAACTCATAGGCTCAGAACTTGAACAAAAACCCAGCATGTCTATTCAGATCTTGGGATTTGCATTGAAACATGAATAGTAACCGAGACTCTGGCCGAAAACTTGGGCTTTCTCAGGCATCGCCTGGAGCGTATCTGCCCCCGATTCGTGGGCACGCGCACGCGCCTTCCGAGCCGACCCGCCCCTGCCGCGGAAACGCCCCACAACCAGCATCCGCCTCTCCGTTCCTCCCGGAGCCGCCCGGGGGGGGGGGCCAGCGCGGCTCCGAGAAATCCGCGCGGAGCGCCAAAAGTTTATGTTTATGGCGTTTCTTTTTCCATCTTCGGAAATAGTTTAACTCGGCGGTGGACAAACCCCCCTTGAATAAACCTCCCTTTCGTGAAAACGGCCCAAGAGCCGCCAGGGGGGGCCCAGCGCGGCTCCGAGAAATCAAATCCGCGCGGAGCGCCAAGAGTTCATGCTTGTGGCGTTGGTCCAGGGGGGGCACCAAACCTACCTCGCTGTTGACCACCCTCGCTCCCAAGAGCTACCCAACGATGCCAAACTGCGGCCTGTACTGGTCAGGCCGCTTGACGAGGAGGCGCGTGGTATGACTTGGTTTTGCCTGGAAGCGAAAGCGGGGTAGGTAATTCGGCTATACGCAAGAGTGACCCTGGGAAAGAGTGACCTTTGGTGCGCGGCATTAGAGGGGCGCGGGGGAGCCAAACCCAAGCGCGCAAGCCGCTTATAGCGCAGCGCGTTCGGCGATTGGGGGACCCATTCGGGCCCGCACGAAAGGTCACTCCGGCGAAAGGTCACTCTCACGTCTAGCCGCGCAGTTCACGCTCTGATTGGTCCTTCTTCGGGATCCTCTGAACGTGACGAACGAACAACACACACCCATACCCATAGGGAGGTCGTTGGGAGGAGGACTGGCTATGGGTATGGGTGCGGGTTGTCGGACCCTGGGGAACGCTCCCGTTCGAGCGGGGAGCCCCATCCGACAACACGCACCCATAGCCCTCTCCGATCCCCCTATGGGTATGGGTGTGTGTTTTGGACGCTCGTTCTGGGGACCTTCCTGGAGCCACTCGCTCCACTCGTGCGTCGAAGCTGCGTCGAACGTCAGTCGAGTTGGGTCGACCCTGAGTCGAACCTGAGTCGAACCTGAGTCGAACTTGAGCCGAACTTGAGTCGAACTTAAGTCGAACTGGGGTCGAACAGATCCGTTAGGTGGGCTCCAGGAAGGTCCCCGAAACGAGCATTGAACTCTCCGATCCCCCATGGGTATGGGTGTGTTGCTGGTCCGTCAGAACGGGCATGGACAAGCGCCGTCCTCCTCCTCCTCCTCCTCCTCCTCCTCCTCCCCCCCTCCTCCTCCTCCTCCTCCTCCTCCTCCTCCTCCTCCTCCTCCTCCCGGCAACGGGCATCTCCGCTTTTCCGCGCCTCCCGGAGCCGGCACGTGCTCTCGGGCCGAGGGCTCCTGAAAAAAAACAAAAGAAAACACTGGCGGCGCTCGCGCCGGAGGGGGCGTCCAGGGAGGGGGGGGGAACGCCCCAGAGGTGGGCTCGCAGATCGGTGGGCAGAAGCGCTTGTGGATGGGAGGGCGAAATCAGAGAGCCAACCATATCAAAGATCCGTAGGATGGATCTATATATACATATATATATATATATACAGATATATACATATAGACTGCATCTGTATGTGTATATATATACACCACATTATATAGATATAAGCATCATTTCCGTATCGATTGATTTACACATGATATAGAGGAGTACGAAAACTATAACGTCAACACTTTGAGAGCCGAAAGAGCAGCGGTAGACGAGAGGAGAGAGGGAATAGAAGATCTATACACACAGCACGTGCGCGGACGAGGGGGTGGGCCAGGGGAAAACTTGAAAGAAGAAGGTGGGACGATCATTGGTATCATGATGCGACTGGCTAAGGGCATGACCCATACATTTCAGCTGCACTCGTTTTTGCAGCCCGCGTGGAAAATTCGGAACTCCAGAACTCTGGGAACGTATCAATTTCATGACCCCATGCTTCTCTGGGAAGAAGGGGGCCATGAAACCAGGGAAGACTTCGTAGCCCTAGTGATGGCATCCACCCCCCATCGTCAATCACCACCCCGTTCCCCGACGCCTGGCATTTCGTGTCGAAGCCTCAGGCCTCTCGCTGCCTTTCGGGGCGATGCGGGTACACCCGGAACGCTCTCGACAGGGCGCAGCTGCTGGAAAGCACCCCGAGGCTGAAGACAGCAGAGGACCGACGACAACGCCCGAGAACCAGGAGTCCTGAACCCGAAACGTCCTCCCTCGGGCACACGGCAACATGGATCAGGGATCCATGTTGCGACTGGATAGAAGAAGAGCCAAAACTTTTGGCGCTCCGCGCGGATTTCCTGGATCCGCGCTGGACCCCCCCCCCCGGCGCGCGGAGCACGCCAGTGGCGGTGCCGGAGGCGCCACCAAGGGGGGGCCCGGGCGAGGATCCGAGAACCCCGCGCGGAGCGCCACGAGTGTATGTTTCTGGCGCGTTTTCTTCTTCCTCGAACGACCCCCTCTCCCAACATGGATCATTGGATCTGGCGCGTGGGCGACAGGAGGGAGGAGGAGGAGGAGGAGGAGGAGGAGGAGGAGGAGGAGGAGGAGGAGGAGGAGGAGGGAGGGAGGAGGGAGGGAGGGAGGAGGGAGGGAGGGAGGGGAGGGGAGGGAGGGGAGGGGAGGGGAGGGTATGGGGGACGCCCCGCCGAGACATGATGCCGGCAGCGCGCCTTGGGCGACGGAGCGCGCCGCCTATATTTGGTACGGAGGACCTCCTCCTCCTCCTCCTCCTCCTCCTCCTCCTCCTCCTCTTCCCCCCTTCATCCTCCTCCTTCCTCCTCCTCCTCCTCCTCCTCCTCCTCCTCCTCCTCCTCTCCTCCTCCTCCTCCTCCCACCTCCTCCTCCTCCTCCTCCTCCTCCTCCTCCTCCTCCTCCTGCTCCGCCTCCTCCTCTGATCCACGCGCCTCCATCCATGTCTGCGCTTCCTGAACTGCCCTTAAGTCGGGCGTGTCCCCCATACAGGGGCATGTTCGACGAAAAGCGAAACATACTCAAAAACATACTCCGAAATGGTCAAGTCCCCAGACTATGTTTCGACTATTTTTGAATATTCCCCCTGTAGAGGGACAGGCCCGACTTAAGACTACCCCCCTGAACAGCACTGAACCGATCCCCATCTCCATTGGCGTGGCCTCTGCCCCACTGGCCGCTGTGCCCCCTAGACGGGGATAAAGGCCTTTCCCCTCGGGTCTCGAGGGGCACGTCCCCAACTGGGGTGGTGGGATGGTGGGGATCGGGACCCAGACATGCGACGCCCTGATGTTTTTCAGAACGGGGTCCCCGGCAATCCCGACCCTTTCCCCGGGACCGGCTTTTCCATCCCGAGTCGTTTCCGACGCTCCCAAGGCCCGGCAAGGGCCCCCAGGAGGCCGAACACGGCCCCAAGCCTCCCGTCCTGGCTTTTGTTCACGACGCGATCGTGCCTGGGGACAGGGCTTTTCGCCTCCCGGGACTTCGCCACTGGGCTCCTGTCCAAGGTGTACCTTTTCCTGCACTTCAACTTCGGCACCGCCTGATCCCAGGGCTTCGCCCTCTCTCGGCCTTGACGTGAGGCCCCGCCTTCTTTTGCCCTCCCTCTCTAATCAATGCTGTGGGCGGCCCGCTTAGCATCTATCGGAAGAGGTTCGCTCTCGCCCCGCGGATCAAAAAAAAGTCTGGGGGCAGGGATCGCTGCGACGATCCTGACCCCCCCCCCCCTGGCCATCACCCCCCTCCTGGACGCCCCCCCGACCCCGAGAGGCCCCCCCCCCGCCGGAGGGAGCAGCTCGCCCGGGGCGACACCGCCCGCCTGCCCGCCCGAGGGGGGCCCTCCTCCACGGCGCGCGCGCCGAGGGCAGCGAGGGGCGACGATGGCCCAGACCTTCCTCCAGGGCTAGAGAGTACAGTCGAGGCGTTGACCTAAGGAACCCTAAATAAGGAACGAGGCCCCTATCCTCCATAAGTTGAACCTCGATTTCGTATCGAAAACCTAAGGAAAATCCAAGGCAAGCTGCGCAACAAGTGAGGAACACGGAGCCCCTCCCCAACGAAAAGGGCTCCCTCTTCAGGGCCCCGACTGTAGCGCCAGGACCCCGACGTCTCCAATGCCACGTCGAGGCCCTGAGCAGCCCAGGTGGCTCTGGGAGTCTGGAGGGCCATGTGCCAGCGCTCCGGCTCCGCGGGGGGGAACTACGTCGACCCGGCGCCGAGGGGGCACGCTGGAGCCGGGGAGCCCGTAGGACTCCAGGGGCCCCAGGACACACGAAGAACTACACACAGATAAAACGAATCCCCAAATGTTCTCCTAGTTCCTGGGCGTCTGTCGTCCCCCCCACTTCCCATGTTTTCCCATATTTTCCGCGGGGTCGACGATTGATTGTGTCTGTGTGTGTTTTTGTCCCCTCCTGGGAGACTCGCGTTCGGGCGACTCGGGTTGGCCTGCCGGGGCCATCATGCAAATGGCGAGGCCCGGTCTGAAATTTGACGTGGGCTCCCGCTGCAGACATCCCGCGCAAGCTGGACCATCGAAATCCAGCACGCGCTCGACAAAAAGCGTCGGCAAACCCGAGTCCCGGCATACTCGAGTCTTACGTTCCCCCGATAGAAGGAAGTTTCGAGGTCCGGGGTTTCTGGACGCTTCCGTCGCTTCCCTGCGGAACTCCAGTCGCGGGAAGCGTCCCAGCGGCTGCGCCGAGCCGAGAGCGCTCCGAGAGTTCATGGACCGCCCTGGACGGTCGCCAGAAGCCCGAGTTATGAGCTGCCAGGGGATGGGCTCAGCAGAGAAGAAACATCGACCTCGGATCGGCGCCACATCGCCGATGGATCGACGGCATGCCCCCGATGGCGAAACCGCACGCTCCTGGGCGGGATGGTGGGCCATCGGGCCCCACGCGGAGGATACACGGGCGCTTTGGAGGTCCACGCCTCCCCGCCGGAGCCCCCGCCCCGAACGTTGCCCCTGCCCCTGGCTTTCAGGTCATCCCGGCACACGCCCACACCCTCGTCCACACCCACGCCCACACCCGCACCTGCGCCCACGCCCCCGCCCTCGCCCACACTGCCCACGCCCACGCTAACCGCCCACACCCACGCCCACGCCCACACCCATGATGGGCCTGTGTGCCACCACCACCACCGCCAGAAGGTGGAGGGGGGAAGGACGAGGAGGAGGAGGAGGAGGAGGAGGAGGAGGAGGAGGAGGAAGAGGAGGAGGAGGAGGAGGAGGAGGAGGAGGAGGACGAGGAGGAGGAGGAGGAGGATGAGATTAGGAGACGAGGAATGAGAACGAGGAGGAGGAGGAGAGAGAGGAGGAGGGATGGAGGATGAAGACCACTCCACCTCCAACTCCTGGTGGTGGTGGTGGTGGAAAACATGCCCATCAGCCAACACGGCACGCCACAGCCCACGCCCCACGGCCCCCGGGGCGCTCCCGGCGGTTGCACGGCCGCCCGAGGGGCACCCCTGGCCAGAGCGCCGCGAACACCTCGGCGCCGAGGGGGCAGCCCTCCTCCTCTCTCCTCCTCCTCCTCCTCCTCATCAGAAACACCAAGACCAAAGCATCTGCAAACCTTCTCTCCTCCTTCTTCCCTCCTCCCCCTCCCTACCCCCTCCTCCTCCTCCTCCTCCTCCTCCTCCTCCTCCTCTCCTCCTCCTCCTCCTCCTCCTCCTCCTCCTCCTCCCCCTCTTCCTCCCCCCCGCCCCCCGCGAGCCCGCCCCCCCCCGAGCCCGCCCCTCCCTGCCCGGCGCTGCCCCCAAGGCAGCCCGTCAGCCCAGGATCAGGCCCTTCACGGCGGCCGCGTGCTGCTCGCCGAAGGCCTGCACGAAGGCGGGCCGAGCTGCGCACCGCTTCATGTACGCGGCCACGTGCGGGCGCGCGCGCAGGTCCTGCGGGCAAGACTCGCGTCCACAGCAATCCATGGCGTGTTCATACAAACGCCCGAGGCGCCGCTGGCATCGGGCAAGATCTGGCCTCGCCAGAGGCCGCTCGTTCATGTTTCCAGTTTGGCTCGGGCTTCTGGGGGGTCCGCAAGACCCGGGGCACGGTGAGACATGTATTCAAGTCTTGCCCGCGTCCTGCTGGCCGAAGAACACGGGGACGTAGTTGAGGTACGACGCCACCTGCGGTGGCAACTCATGGGGGCCTCCCACGCTTACCATCTTCATGGCTCTTGCGAACCGACGCTAATCGACGCTAGGTCGGCGCCATCTCGTCGACTACCAGACGCTAGTCGACGCGAGCGCACTCTAAAGACGGAGCTGCGAGGGTATACCCCAGACGTCTGCCCGCTCAATCCCACCAGCCCTTTGGGCGTGAGTGGTTTAGAGAGCTCTCTCTGTCCTCAACCCCCTTCTTCCCCTTCGGGGAGGGGTTTACCCCTCCCCCTCCCCCCTCCCCCTGGGCCTGGACAGGGAGTCCCGAGTGTTCTCAGGGGTGTCTTTTTCGACTCCTGGGAGGGCCAAAAAACGACGACCCTCACGAGGATTCTGGCCCCGACGGGGGGGCCCAGTTTGGCCCCTCTGCTCTTCTTTGAGGCCAAAATCATTGATTGTACTACGGTTTTGGCCCCACTTTGGCCTCCTGAGGGGGCCGCGCTTCTCTTCCTCCATAGCAAAATCGTTGATTTTACGAAGGTGTTGGCCTCATTTTTTCTTTTTCAGGGGGCAGCGCTCCTTCGCGCTTCAGAGGAGGTCGCAAGAGGCCCCCAAGATGGCCCCACGAGGCCCCCAGGAGGCTCCCAAGAGGCCTCCAAGAGGCCCCCAAGAGGCCCCCAAGAGGCCCCAAGAGGCCCCAAGAGGCCCCCAAGAGGCCCCCAAGAGGCCCCCAAGAAACCCCCAAGAGGCCCCAAGAGGCTCCAAGAGGCCCCCAAGAGGCCCCACGAGGAGCCCGAACGACTCACACCAGGACGAGGGGCCCGAACGACTCACACCACGAAGAGCCCGAACGACTCACACCACAAGGAGGGGCCCGAACGACTCACACCAGGCTTGGACGCCCGAGTTATCCGGGATAACTCGGGTCCGGGGTAACTCGGGTTTGGATTCCCGAAAAAGGAACCCGAGTTATCCCTGACCCGAGTTACCCCTGATGATTCGGAGCTCTGGACGCCCGAGTTATCCGGGGTAACTCGGGTCCGGGGTAACTCGGGTTTGGATTCCCGAGAAACGAACCCGAGTTATCCCTGACCCGAGTTACCCCTGATGATTCGGGGCTCTGAAGGACGAGCCGCCCGAACGACTCACACCATGAGGAGCCCGAACGACTCGCACCACGACGCGGGCCTCGAACGACTCACACCACGAGGAGCCCGAACGAGTCACACCAGGAGGACGGGCAGCGCTCATACAAACCCCCCACGATGGCCCCCAGAGGTCCACCAGATGGCCCCCAGAGTTCCCCTGATGGCCCACAAGAGGTCCCCAGGAGGCACCACGAGGCCTCATGTTTCGCAAGAGTTGCTGTTTTGAGATGGGCTGGTGGGGATACGCGAAGCGTGAAGAATTTTCTTCGACGCGTGGGCGCTAGAGGTCTGGACCACTTCCCTGGGGCCAGGGCGGTTTTTGACGGTCGCGAGGCTCGGCAGGGGCCCCTGGAGGCCGGAAATGGCCCCAAACCGGCCGCTCCAATTTTTTGGGAGCGTCGGGTCTCTGAGAAATGTTCGGCTAGAAGTGTCAGAAAAGTTACCACAGGGATAACTGTCTTGTGGCAGCCAAGCGTTCATAGCGACGTTGCTTCTCGATCCTTCGATGTCGGCTCTTCCTATCATTGAGACGCAGAAGTCCCAAAGTGTCGGATTGTTCACCCGCCAATAAGGAACGTGAGCTGGGTTTGGGGCACGGCTCCCGATATTTGCTACCGAACGCCACCGCCACGTCGGCCACCGAGAACTCGCCGCCCACCAGCCAGTCGGACGCGGCCAGCATCCCCTCCAGCACGTCGAGGGCCCTGCCCGGCTTGCTCAGCTCGGAGCCGCTGAACCGGGGCCCGAAGCACACCTCCTCGAGCGATGTGTTGGCCCACACAACCCACT